TATATATATATATATATATATATATATATATATATATATATATATATATACTCAGCTGGTGAATCGATTTCAAGTATGCATATTTTGCAGCTTTTGAAATGGTTTACAGGTTTTTACAAAGTTTTCATTAGAATCAAGTTTTATTGAATATGTTTTATCTGCTTTGACTGATAATCTTGTGTTTTGTATCGCGAGGAACAGCGGTTACATGGATTGTATTTTGGACGTCGTTGCCATATACCACAATAGCCACCTCATTGTAACATTTTCTACGCCATCTTATAAACAAATGGCAAGATCAAAATTACCATTCAGAAACAAATCGGCTACATAGAAAAGTAATGTCCCTGACCTTTGAAAAAAATAAAAAGAGAACTACGTTCAACCAAAAATCCAAGACTCTGTTCTCAGTCAAGAACTCAATAGTTATTCTTCCGGCACAATTACTCACCATATGTCTTGCTACAGACTAATTTTAAAGAACAACCGAAAACGCAAACAATCATTTTCAGGATTGAAAAATATGTACGATGAATGAAAAAATACACATTTTCATTTTTTTGGATCAATAAAAATATCTTATCTATCTTATATTTGCATATAGGTATGTAATACTAGCTAATATGCCCAGGTTTTTCCCGGGATTAAATTGACACAGAGTCAACAAAAGGCCTTTTAAATGTTCACCCTATTTTAATCCTATATTTATGATAAACTTTAAAGTTTGTAAATCAGTTAAGGAACACTGGTTTGAGCCCATTAATGCAATTTGATTCATCACATATAAAGGTTCACCCTTTTCAATTTCTTCATATTTATATTTAATTTAATATTGAAATAAGGTGCCTAAGTCTTAACTCAAAAAGCAGCTCTATCAAAACTATATAATAAATAGCAAAGCCAACTTTAAAAGTTGTAATTAGGTTGAGAGGCCCCGTTAAAAAAGTCAGTAAGGTGTAAAAATATATTTTAAAGTGAGTCTTTCATAATACTAATTTTCATAAATACCCTAGATAACTTTTAGAATTGTTAATTTTTAAAAGATATAATAACAATTTTGAAGCCCGTGGGCGAATCCGAGTTCCAAAATATGTAATTAAAATTTTTACACAGCCAATGCAATTTTTAATATAATATAGAATAAATGTAAAAAATGTAAACTCTCTTCGTCTAATAGTTTTAATGATTTAATAAATAAAAGGACACACATACAAACCGTTATATGGTTTTCAAAAAATAATCTATGTCAAGATATGGCTCCATATTCGAAAAATACGTAACAAAAGGACTGAAAACCAGTATACCGAGAAAACGATTCCAAATTTGGTGATAATAATGATAATCAATTTAATTATACATTTAAAATTCTTTAAAAATACAAATACAAATGTTCAGAAACAAAAGAAAAACTATATCAACTTGCAGCACAGCAATGGAATAGCTACAATTATCAAAAATTGCAAACATTAATTTACACACAAACATAAAGAGT